AAGAATAGTAACTATATATATATATATATATATATATATATATATATATATATATATATATATATATATATATATATATATATATATATATATATATATATATATATATATATATATATATATATAAAAACCGGATACAAATAGGTGTTTTGCGAAATTGAGAGCAACTTCAAATCTGTTCAGTTTTTTTTTATACACCCTGTATAGTGGGCGATGTCATTATAAGGTATAGGCAAGAATTGCAATGGAATCGCAGGCCCGCAGGTTCAATTCCTGCAAGAGGACCAATGCATAGTTGCATATTTCGCAGCTGCTCCTCGTCAGGTCTAAATTTGTATATACTGTAATAAATTTGTATATACTACAAAGCAACTTTGCACTAAAAATGGCTTCTCTTGTTAGAATGAACACTGATCACGGATTCGTTCTTCTGGAACATAAACTATTAAAGAGATGTTTTCACATCCGGAAAACTTTCTATCTTGTACGTATATAAACATACTTGATTGTGAACCCTCTTCCCATGCTTTAATAGGAGCAGATGGTTTGTTCTGGTCAGACGATGTTTGCTGTTGTTTATCAGTATCTTGAGTTTCAAGATCGACTTCTTGTTTGCCTTTAGTATTTACTGCATCAGGTGCAGTAGGCAATGGCCGCGCACGTGATGACGATGGTTCTGTTTTAGATACTGGTGGTGGTGGCAGAGGGCGACCAACATTGCTTGGTGGAACTTCAACCACGCTAAAAGAAAGACATATCAATGCTTATATCTAGACATGCCGTAGGCTATGTTTACATTGTGGCTATGTTTACATTGTATCGGATCGGTTTTTGCTTCGTTCACGAAACGTTACGGCCTAAGTGTAAACAGCTTCCGCCCTCGCCCAACTAAATACAAAAATATCATAAGTGAGCAAGCTATACCCGCAAATAAGATTAGAATAGCAAGTCTTTGTTTCCCAGGTGCCATCTTGAGTCACGTATTGAACCGAAAATTGCTCCGATTTGTGTTTACATTACAATAAGAGCGTTGCAAAAAGCGATCCGATACATCGCGCACCACTTCGAAGAGCGAACCGCCGCACCACCGGTCCGTTGCAGAAATTGAGACGATAACAACATTTCATATGTAAACAGAAGCCCTATCCGGTATGGTTTTTGCGTCGGACGCAACGTGATCCGATACAATGTAAACATAGCCTGTATCGGATAGTTTGCGGAGCGACCCCAAAACCTGTGCCCAAACTATACCGGATATGGCTTGTGTTTACATACGAACTGATGTAATCCTACCTATTTCTGCATCGAAACGCCGCAGTGATGCGTGTTGTGCCGGATTGGATTTTGCAACGCTGTCATTGTAATGTAAACACCAATCGTAGCACTTTTTGGTTCAATTTGTTATTTAAGATGGCGTCTAGCAAACAAAAACTTGTTATTCTAACCCATTGAAATGAATATAACTGGAACGCTCAACCGGAAGTTTGAAGCCAAACTTGAAGGCCAGTCCCAGTCTTTTCACGCATGCGAAGAGCGCTCAATCAGACGATGATATACAAACGCGTGTCTGGAGGTAAGATGAATTGGCTTCAAGTTCAGATTATTTGAAGGTAGCGTTCCAGTTATATTCATTTCAATGTTCTAATCCATTGAACTATAAGGAAACTGGAACGATAACTCAACACATTAAGCCCTATGATTGAATGAAGCCAAATTGGCGCCGCTTCCACGCAACGCGTTCTCTGAGTGGACGAAGGAGTGAGCAATGCCTCGATTGTAAACGGCGTGATCATGGCGATTTATAGGGTCGTTTTGGTTAAATTTTTAAGAAATCAGCGCTAAATATTATACTTAACAATCAAATCGAGCGGGAAACACGGTGAAGAAGTACAATATGAAATATGCGTTGATTGCATGTGAAAGCGACAAGAAAGCCAGAAAAAATCGCATTGCTTTGTAGTAAAACTTGTCGAGTATGTTTACAGTTTCTCTTGGTTTAATGAACACCAATACGATTTTTAGAAGGAAAAGGTAATGATGCTTTGAAAATTATACGAGAAATAAACAACACAGTATTAAAATAATACAATAGAGTAAATAACATAAAGGATCTTGGCATGGTTTTGGATGAGCATTTATCGTACAACAACCAACACACAGTTCTAACTCAAATCTAAGTGTATTTCAGTCAAAGCTAGTTTTGTCATAATCAAATCAATCATGCAAATAATATACATTTAAATATATACTCAATTTCATTGATTTTTGAATAGGATGAGTTTGGTAAGTTGGTGCCTGGGGCTTGCCTTTCCATCCGTCACAACTGTGTCATTAAACCGCTTGCAGTAGGTACACAATCACAGTGTCAAGTATCTGTCTGCTCTTAACTTTATTAATGATGCTCGGTGGTCTTCTTCAAATACATTTTTCTTCACTCCTTGTTCATGACTATCGAATACTGAATGGCTGGATTCCATGACAAAATGACTGCACACGTTCATAATCATCTTCTCATAATCATCTTTGCTTTGAAAACTATCTCAACAACCACGGTGTGGAACAACAAATTGAGATGAAATCAACAGATTGAGACGGAATCCTTAAGCCACCATTGTTCACGAATAAAGTAAGAGCAGAAACAGAAGCAACTTCGTTGATTTCATGGCACAGTATAGTCGTGGTCCGGTGTTGGTGTGGGAAAACGCGAGACAAGACAGCACTAGCAGGATGAACATGAAAGTTCTTTTACAAGTTTGGACACCATGTAGCCTCCAATGTAAAACAGGACATTCGAAAGGGACTCGGATGTTGTGGAGCCATTCAATGTGTTAGAAGTAGGTTTTCTTCATGTACGGTCTCATCTTGTTGGTGGCAATCGTCAGATGTAGCTTCTTTCAAAGGGGCTGTGTGCTTTCTGGAGTGGAAAAATGGAATTATGAATGTGGAATAGTTTGAAAAGGTTTGGCCGTTCGCACTCTTTGAAGTTGTCACTGCATATTTGAGCAGAATCTTCCTGATGGCATACTTCAGTTGTAGACAATTTGGGTTTATTGCTACAACCACATTTAGCTCGAATGCACGAGAACAACAACTCAATATGATCCTGGGAAAATTTGTAAGTTAGGAGATATTTAAATCGTTGGTCGATCGAGGTGAACATTTCATTTGACATTTCATTAATTGAGGTAACAAAGCCAATTACAAATGTTTTACGTAAATGGGTTGAGAGAAGTTGTCCAAACTCGGCATGTATTTTTAGACTGAGTAAGTAATGGGCAGTGGAACTCAAGATTTCTTCCCACGTTTCCCTGCTTTCGGGTCGAAGCGGTTGCTTAAATCCTCGTCCTAAAGGATTACAGGAATTCAGGATGTCAAATAGACGGTCTATCGTTCTCACAAAAGGACAACTTGTTTGCAAGGGTTTACCCTTCACTTTCCTGAATAGTGTTTAGTGTTAAGAAAAAGTTCCATTTGATTAGATGCGCCAGTCCATTTCTTACAAGTCTCAACATGTGCCATTGATCAAGGATTGCATTATTAAACATAGCAGTTTTCGGTTGGATGTTTGAATTTCGTCACCATTGTGCTGAAGGATGTTGTGAAATTGCAACCAAGTTCTCGGAACATGCTAATGTCAACTGTGGTGCCATATGTTTATAAACCATACTCGAAGCCCTTCTGCAGCAATTTCAAGTCCTATTCCAACAAGTTGTGCTTGTATTTTGCAGACATTTTGTCAACAAAAAATATCAGTTGGACATTTCCAGTGACTTGGTGCACCCACAAGTAGTAGGACCACTGCTTCAGATGGAAGTGCATCCAGTTTTTCTGTTGGTATGGTTCCATAGTTGACGAAGCCCACCTGCTTGTCTTGTTTTGAATCTCACAATGTTTGCATTATTGTGGATATGGCATCAATAACAAGACAGCAATTGTATTGAATATCGTATTTATTTCTATAATTTCTTGAACATTTGGTATAAAATATGAACGTAAAACTCTATACAAAAAACTATAAATCGTATCGTGTTCGAGCTTGTGAGTCGTATCGTGTTCGAGCTATAAATCGTATGACCTCTGTCTCTATAGCAACAGTTCTGCTATTGGTTGGCATAAATTAAGTCAACATAAATTAAATTAAATTTAAATGTTTATCACACTGGCCGGGTTGATCAGCTATGACGATCAAATGAAAGATATTAATATTAACCATAACAAATACTTTTCTATAATTATCACTGTTCAGTCCGTTATTGTCCTTTACGTAAAAGTTCTCCAATAACTGCAGCTGTTCGTCTCGGTCGACCTTTCGTCGTTGTCTCGATAGCTGGTGGACAGGTAGAAACTTCTTCGTCGGTTGGGCTCGGTAATTCGGGTTCCATATGCAATTACAATGAATTAGATGCTGTATGGGTCAAAGGAAGGGATTTCGCGAATGTAATCAATTCATCAAGTTCAAACTGAAATTCGTCCGTCTTAGTGTTTCAGGAGGTTCCAAAAACCTTTACTGATTTTGCTGTCGATTGTGAATTGTTGCCAACTGTCGTTTTCGTGTACGATTCATCTGCTTCTGTTATATTTCCGTCGTTCATTTTTTTCGATGTTGAGGTGCTTTGCAGGCAATTGTCTTCGTTGTCGATGTATTCGGTAGAGTTCGAGTTCCACTTTCGTAAGTTGAAGCTTGCTTCTTTCATTAGTTGTTTCGAATTCTTGTTGTTTCGAATTGCAGCATGATGTGGGATGTAGTGTATATCTTTGCGCTGAGGTTCTAGTGATTGGCTGTTGTCGGCTTCGAGATTCTCGATATCTTTCTCTGGAAATTCTTCGATGACACCAGAAGAAAGCTGTTCCTTTATGATCTGATCATATTCCTTGAGAAGCTCTGGTTTCTTTTGCAACTTGAAATGCATTGATCGTAGTCGGTTTCTGGATAACTCGTTGTTTGGAATGGGTAAGTGTTCACTCTTCCAAGGTAGACTGACTTCGTAACGGTTTCTTTGTCGATAAACATACTTAGAGAATTCTTTACTCCGAACTGGGTCTTCGGATGGATGGATGCCAATTGACTCGGTCTCCCAAAACTTCTTCAATGTGTCAACTACGTTCTGTTCTTCATCATAGGTACCATAGTTGAATGTCTCGCTCTGTCCGGATATGATCAAGTTTGACTGTATTTCGGTCGGCGCAGCTGAATCATGAAGTGGACCTGAAAGCAGCCATCCGAGTTTGCTACTTACAGCTACTGGACCAGATTCTCCCTTCTGCATTTCTCCAATAACTATTTGCCAATAATAGTCGGAACCAATAAGAACATCTATTGATTCATTTCTATCGTGTTCGAACTCATCAGCTAGTTCAAGACCATCAAGGTGTGGGAAGTCTTCGATGTCGACTCTAGTGGGTAGAGATGAGCATATTACTGGAAAACTGAGAGCTTTTATTGTTAATTTGCCATGATCTTTGCCTTCGAGATTAAATTCAACCAAGTCACAATTTTGCTTGCGAAATTTGGAATTACCAAACGTATTTAAGTTTAATGTTTCATTCTTCACAGGTTTGAGGTTTAATCTTGTTTTGAGGCTGTTGCTGATATATGATCGTTGGCTTCCGCTGTCGAAAAGGACTCTTACTTTTGCTGATCTTGATCCATTGGAATTAGTTGCTGTAGTTCTCGCTGTTTGAAGAAGCACTGTTCCCTTGCTTCGCACGTTACTTGTAGTTGTGGTTCCCTTTGATTCCTC